TTTGGTTGTTTGAGGCCTAATCCGAGAAGTCCCTTGGAAATAAAAATTAGTTGGTCCCCTCCGTAGTCCGACCCACCGGATTGGCCCAACCCTTTTATCCAAAGCCCAAGTCCATATATCCAAAGCCCAAAGCCCAATCCTATTTGTGACTTTGTTAGGTGGTCAGATGATATAGCCCGGGTGGGTTTTTTTAGTGTGGGAGTGAATCAAGAGTTGTGAAACCAAATAATAGATAGATAGAAAGAGGGTGATATCGAGAGTGGGGGAGATGAAGAGTTTCCGGTGAGTTTCTGGTTGTTATATATTTTGGCCGGTGATTATTGAGGTCTAGAATGCACACAACCGATCCGCCCAAATTGAAGCCCGGATTCGACAACCCGCTATCCGACCCAAACCTTTGAGAGACTCGTCGGTTCGCAAGCTATCTGGCTTTGAACCGGGCTGGACCGGTTTGAACCGGTCTGGACCGCTGAACCGCTGGTCTGTTCTGTTCTCTATATATAAGCTGATCCTCGAACCGGTTCACTTCACTCATTCAGAACAGACGCGACGCAGCCCTTCTCTCAAGCCCTAGGCGATTCCGATCAATCTCTGCCTGCCTTCTCCGGTGAATCTGTCCGGCGAGTTGGGAGTTTCTTCTTCTCCTTCGATGCACGCCTTCCCCTTTGGGGTTTCTACGGTTTGGTTTGCTTGATTTATGCCTTATTGTTGTTTGCGGTGTAATTTGTCTGCGATGTGGGTTTAGGCTTTAATTTCGGCAATGTTTCCTTAGATTGGGTTTCGGTTTAGCGTGTTCGTTGCGTTTTCATGGCATGTCATTTTTGGTTGGGTTTTGGATGTGTGTTCAGTGTCGGTTGGTTTGATATTAGGGTAAACTGAGTTCGAACTGTTGCTTCCGTAATAAATCGGAAATCGAAGTTTTCTTTTAAGTTTTCTTCGATGTTGATTTGATTTCGAAAGAATATAGCCTATTGGATCTTGAATTAGTAATAACACTGGTAAAGTTTGGGAACCTTTTATTTGAGTCGATTTTGGTGGGTGTTGAGGCTTGGAGTGACGAGCGGACCTCCACTTTGAGGTTGAGGCGTTATTACCTCGGACAATTCTCGCACCATAGATTGAGTCGAAATCCAACCGTCCCTTTTCCAGTAAATGAATCGTTGCCATCGGAGCTCTCCTGTCCGTTCGTGTCGAATAGGAGCCGTGGGTCTGTCTCAGTGAAGATCAAGCCGCCAATTGCCTGGTGTCGTCATTGCCTTGCCGCCGGTCGCCTGGAGAAGAAGAGCGCCATGGTCGACCCGGTCGCTGCCGGAGGCCGCCACCGATGTCCAAAGGAGTCCCAGAGAAGACACAGTCGAAGCTGGTGGTCGTCGTCGATCGATGGCTCTATCGGCTGGAATTAGAATTGAATCTCGGACAGAGATAGGGCACGCGAACAGGGAGATATTCCTAATTCATTTAATTTCCGTAAAATTGTTTTCTGACTTTTCTTTAATTGTGTTAATTTTATTTCGATTTCGGTTTAGATTCATTTGGATTTATTCGAATTAATTGCTTCCGGTATTAATTAATTTGTATTTTGTATACGGGATTTGTTCGATAAATTTAAAAAGATTCAAGAATAAATTCACAACAACCTTATAAATATTTATTTAAATAAATATACTTACTAAATAATATTAATTTAGCCAAAATTAAATACTTAAATAGGACATAAATAATGCCAAAAATATATAATTCAAAAAACACATCAATTAATTTAATTTATACATCAAATAAATTGTAAATTACACCTAAAAATTAATAAATTAATATTTTTACACAAGATGAAATAAATATAATTATTAGAATAAACTAATATAAATAATATCAAAATTCGACATAAATAAATAAATAATTAAATAAATATAAGTTATAAAATATGATAAAACCAAGAGTTATCAAAATCCTCACACTTAACATTTATTCATCCTCGAATAAATTCAATTAATAGAATTAAACCAAGTATTTTCTAAACAATGACTCAATATTGTCGCAATATCAACGGCGGTGTGTAAACGAATCTTAGCTAAAGTTTAGATCTTTAAGCTATTTACGCGATATTGCTCATCTACAAAGATTCGAAATTATGTCTCCCGAAATATTTTCAAACCTAAGTATTCGGAGTAACTTCTAAAAATGATGCAACGACTCAAAGCTTTAAATAAACCACCATAATAAATTATATGGTGCAATAAATTAAGAAACTAGGCGGCCCGGTAGACATTGCTATGGATAATAAATTAATTTTGACATATTTTCGCGTCGATTTTTGTTTTTGTCAAGTCAAGTCGCATATAAAGATAATCGGCATCCTCCTCACATTATTCGTTCGTCAATCACATTTTTAAGGAAACTTAATTCATCATCTCCGCTAACAAGCATAGCTAAATAGACGAAAGTTCTAAAAATCAGACTAAGTATGGAACAAATGAAACGAAGGAAATATCAAACAACTTTATCAAAATTCCGATTTATACTTATATTCAAAAGAATTTCAATTATTGAAAATATTCCATTTCAAACTCAAATTAAGCACAATAAAATCGATTCGGAAAAATAACATATTTCACGGCTAACTTTATTTTAAATAAATGAATTAAATATTATAAATATAATAATATAAATTAATTCAGCATAAATTACAAAGACATAAATTAGACAAAATAAAGTAATCAACATAAATTAAACAACATAAATTAAAAAATAAATAAAAATAATTTAAGCCAACATAAATTAATCTCACATAAATTAACTTATTAAGCCAAAATAATTTAACTCAATATAAATGAATTAGAACACATTATTTATTGCAGCTTAATGAGACAAAAATGAGAATTACTGCCGGCCTAATTAACGAAATTACTACTACTTTAATAGAAATTAAATTAAATTGACTAATTAATTAACTAAAATAATTAATTAAGAAAGCAAGGTGTGTTTGTTTGGGATTTGGATTTTGGGTTGGGATTTGAATAGTAAAAATTTTGAATTTGAAGATGTTATATAAATAAGTGTTGATGTGTGTTTTGAATGTAAAATTGATTTTTAGTATAACATAAAAAAAAAATGAAAAATAAGTATTTTGATTTGATTTTTTTAGAAAAAAAAAAAGATAATAATGTAAATCCAATCCAATTAATTAACCCAACTCGTCTGAAACAACACTAGAGATCAAATTAATCACTTAGCAACTAAATAATTAATCACCCAACACCCGCACTAATTCACGGCAGAAGACTAATCACATAGTACAATAAAATAAAGGACAAACATCAAATAAACTAGGAGAAAAAAAAAAAAAAGGATAAATAGCAGATTGATTGATCCACTCTAGAGTGAACAACTAGAAATAAGGTAGTGCCTAAACCAAATCAAGGAAACAAATTTAGTCTAAATACATTACTAACTAAAGTATACAACCTAATCTAAACTGATAGCAACAAAGCTAAACACGCAGCAGGGCTCAATAACTACAAAACAAAACTAAAACCATAGTTGGATAAGGAAAAGAGCAGTTTACTATCTCCCGTAACGGATGGTCCGATAGTGTAGGGGTTGGACTTGTGACCATGAGGTCATGGGTTCAAACCCCAACATCTAAAAAATATATGAATATTAAGTATCCATTTTTTAAAATTAGAATCGAATTTGGGATAAAATTTAAAAATCTTAGCTGACTCTGGTTGAAAGTGGTATTATATATTGTTTACAATTTCTGATTTTGTCATTTGAATGAGATATTGTTGTTGTTGCTGCTGGTCTATTAAATATTAAAATCTCCTTTCAAGAAAGTTGGTAACCGAAATCCAAAGAAATTTTTTTTGTTCCTCCTTCTGCTTGCCATGCAAAATAAATTATCTATCTATTTGATTATTCTCCCTCGTTTCTTCTTTTACTTGAATTCATGACTGTAGTTTGAAAACATAGAGAGACTGAAAGACAACGTGCAGAAAAAAGAAAAAAGAGAAAAAGATAAACAAACTAAATTTCCATACATTTCAATTTAATTTTAACCATTAGATTAAGTTATAATCCAACTGATCAAGGACAGATGGAATAATATTTTATCCACTGTCATTCAAATTTATGTCCATTTTTTTTTTATTATCATCCAAAAATATTCTTATTTCCTTTTTAGTAAAAATATACTATTTTCTATTACTTTTTCTTTATCGGAAAATAATAATAATAAATACTATTTCTACTAGTATTTTTTTTAAAAAAAACACTTATATCATATTAATGAGTAGAAATATATCATATTATTTCAATATTTTTGTTCTTAAAAATAAAAATGAAATAAATATTTTTATAAAAATTATAAATATTTTAACATTTAGGTATGATTATTTAACTATAATCAAAATAAATATTTTTGAGTGATATAAATAAAAAAATAAATTAAATTGAAAACGAGAAAATATTTTTTTAAAAACATTTAAAAATAACATAGTTAAAATTTATTTAACCATATACATTATACCACCTCCGATTAAAAAAAAAATTACAAAAGTCGTTTAATTAATATTAACTCAAAATCCAAACCAAACAAACAAACAAATAAATTACTTTTAATCAATCTGCAATCGGTAAACAAACGGAGTAAAGTTTGAAAAGATAAAATCCAAATAAACACTCTAGAACGTGGGACGCCGTTGCTGCAGTCTATTGAATTCCCAAAATGCCCCTTTTACTATTTGACAATTACATCCCTCTTTTAAAGTACAAGAGAAAAATAACAGTTGAGTACCAGTTGAGTCATACCAATCCTTTCACTCACTCCCTTCTGCACTTCTTTTTGGACTTCCACTTCCAAACGAACGGGGAAGGCGCAACCTGCTTCCGATCGACGCCGAGGTCCCCATTCTTGCAGTTCTGATTCTGAGGAAAGAAACGATTGGAAGAATTTGGCTCCAATTTTTCGATTATTAGTGTTTAATTTATTCATTTACTAGAAAATGCCAATCAATTACGAATCGGCGACGCCGCCGCCGCGGATTGGGAAGATCGGGCCGTACACCGTATTTTTTACGCCACCGGCGACGCCAAATTCCGGCCGAGGACCAGAATCTCCCGGTGTAATTTCTCCGGTTCAAGTTCCGGTCGAGAAACCCTCCCCTCCCCCGGTGATGGCTCCGCCTGCGCAGTTCTTCAAAGAAAAGCCTCCATCACTTGGTTTCTTCAGGGACACGGTGGCCAAAATTCAAAATGGTATCTTCTCCATTGATTTGCTTAGCGTTTTCACTTGTGCGAATTTGGGCAACATGATTTGTATATCTAGTAAGGTAATTCTGTGAATTATGTCTAATTATGTTATTCGCCTGAATTGATCTTGTTCAGCGCATGCGAGTTTGGATGAGCATGTAGCTCGTTGGTTTGGTTTGGATCAATCCAAGTACCAGTGGGCATTGAACGATTACTATGAATGCAACGAGAAGGTAACTCGTTAATAATATAATATGCCTATTTAATACCTGTATGCATTTGCCTGACACCATGTTTAGGATGTTTATGCTTTGATTCCTGAGTGTGGTTTACTTCTGAAAGAGAAAGCTTTAGGAGACTTGTGCTAGTTGGAGATTCAAAACTTGAGATTCTAGCCCTGTCTCTTGCTGAGGTTTAATGGAATAACTTAATCAGCATTTGATAGGGAAAAACTAATAGTTAAGTGGTTGAGGGCTATATGTGGAAAAAGAGCCATAAGATTATAATTTTCATCTCAATTTAAGGGATTACTTTATCTCCCTTGTTTTATGGGATACATTTAGTTTTATAAGTTAGTGTATTAATCGTATACTTATATAGATACACTTCTGGTAGAGTGCTCATTAGCCTTACTCAGTAGATAAAAGAGAGAGAAGTGCATGCTTTCAACTATAGATGTGGATGAACATATCTCATGTGCGATGTGTAGACTATTGTTATGTGTTAGTTTATTTTCTATATTCTTATCAAATCAATTAATATAAAATATGGGCTGCTGTCTTATGATGCACAGTTAAGATTCAGCACTGAAACAGTCGCCGTATAAATAATTTGTGACACTAACATGTAAGCATGTGATTAGGAATGACAAATTAATCTGCCCTAATAACTTCTAGTAAACACACCTTTGGATTCATACACGTCTTGGCGATGGAGCAGGAAAGAAGGAAAAGAAAATAAATACTTATATGGGTAGAATCACTTGTTAGAAGCCTAACTACCATAGATGATGACAATGCTCGCGAGACAACTCTCTCTAAGGAACTCGGCAAAATAGCCCCGTAACTTCGGGAATCACATGTCTCACATTTCATTCTAGTATCGAATATGAAATAAATAATGTCTCATCAAAAGAAATAAACAAACAGGGATTGAATGTGCCCCTCTACCATATCTGTACAAATAGAATAGTACATTTCTACAGAATGGTAAAGGGGTACTTTATGATCATCGACTGTCTATCTCCAATAATTAATTCTCGCTGACCACGCCCTAGGACGGCGGTTTTGGTGCTGACTGGGTTCAAATCAGCAGCACTCAAACCGAAACTCACTGCCTAGATATTGTGAGATCATCTGAAGATTGAGAAAGTATTGCAATTTTGAATTGGAATTTGACCGTTCACAAAATTGAGAAAAGATTACATATTAGGTAATGTTGCTTCTATAAAAGCATATACGGGCCCTTCCCTTTTGTCTATCATTTCTTTAAGCATTCTTTGCAACAAAATTCAACTGTGGAAAGACTTTTTAGTTTAACCATTTGAATATCGAACTGTTTTAAAAAGTTCATTGCTTTGGTCAAATATCTTTTGCTAGTTATCTGTGGTTGATTTGCTGCCCTCTTAAGGGTTTTAATCAGCAAGTTCTTGTTGAGTTTATGTTCCATGCTTCCTTGGGGAAATTAAGATGTATTTTGGAATTGTTTTAAGTTTTTTGTAGAGATTTGGAAATAATAAAAAAATTGAACAAAAAATATATATTTGATGTGATGTAAATAAATGATATATGTAATGTTTTGTATAAAAATGTATATTTTTTAATGTAATTTATGATATAATTTGGAGAAATTTTTTGATGTATAATGCCAAAACATCAGTAAACATGCTACATTTAATAGTTGTTAAATGAATAGCCTAAGTGAAGTTTATGTGTTATATTCAAGCCTAAGTTCCTTTCTTGGCCTGATTGTAGAATCCGGAAGCAAAACCACAAATCACACCCGGTAGAGTGCCGAATGTATGAAAATGGTAAGAAACTCTCACAAGGTTTCTTTGATTTTATTCCAAGAGCATTTTGTTTCTTAAAAATGTGAATAACAACAATGGATACTGTCTCTGGACACATTTCTTCAGGTACTTAGTTCCTAAATCTGGAATACCAAACAACAGTTTCAAGTGGCTGATGTTTATGCATGGAAACTTCACCCTATTAATGCCCTGTAATATTATGTGATTTTATTGCCTATATTAGATGCTTACAGACTTTCAAACTATTCGAATAACCTAAATGCCTACTCCAAATCCAATGACAAGTTAAATTCCATTTACATACATTGTCAACCTATTTGCAGTTTAAATATAAGCATGAATATAATATAACTTCCTTGACCAGAGAAGAAAACTACAGCAGCAAGTCAATACTGTCTTACACGAAAGCAGTCTTGCAGCTAACAAATTTCAGATTCACATACAATACTTCAATATACTGGAAAGAAAATGGATACAATATGAAGAATATAGATATAAGATATGAGCAAAGATGCAGTCGAAACACGATGCAGGCAACTGTATATATATATATCCTAAAGCTTATATATATATGAGAAGTAGTACGGATGACTACCTGATTTTACAAAATTGCCCTTAGTAGCCAAACATTTCATATTTACTTCAGTTGTATATAGGGGTAATACTGTGGGTAAGTATGCCTTTTTTCGTCAATTAACACCGGGTAATATTGTGTTTTTTCATTTTAATTTGGTATTTTTTTGTGATTTACTTGTACAAAATATATTGATATGGATATCGTTTGTTAGGTCGTAACTTTTACTTTAATACAATAACTTATAACATTGTAATACTAAGATTTCTATAAAATGGCATTTTATAGTAACAATGGGTTCTGAAATTCATTGGGCAAACAAAACAAAAAAAAATTCAAGTCTTGACTAGACGGTAGATTAATCAATATAAATATATATTTTTTAAAGTTGTTACCTAATGTTGCACAGTTAAAAGGAAAATAAGAGGTTTATATAATTCATACATATATTTCTTTCGCTTCGCTTTCCGTATTAGCTGACTGCAGGTTTTTCTGTTGTCGTCCGACCTGCGCGACATGATTTACGGAACCCTGCAGTACGGATGGCTACCTGATTTTACTAAATTGCCCTTAATAGCCTAACATTTCATATTTACATCAGCTTTATATAGGGATAATATTGTGGGTAAGTATGCCTTCTTTCGTCAATTAACACCGGCGTTGACAGTTATACTGAAGATATTGAGTGTTATTTAGGGTTGTGTTTTTCCATTTCAATTTGGTATTTTGTTGTGATTTACTTGTACAAAATATATTGATATGGATATCGTTTGTTGGGTCGTAACTATTACTTTAATACAATAACTTACTTATAACATTGCAATACTATAATTTCTTTAAAATGTCATTTTATAGTAATAAGAGGTTTTGGAGTTTGTTGGGCATCCAAAACAAAAAAAATTCAAGTCCGACTAGACGGTGGATTAATCAATATAAATATATATATATTTTTAAAGTTACCTAATATTGCACAGTTAAAAGAAAAATAAGAGGTTTATATAATTTATACATATATTTCTTTCGCTTCGCTTTCCGTATTAGCCGACTGCAGGTTTTTCCCGCTATCGTCCGACCTGCGCGACACGCTTTACAGAACCCTGCAATACGGATGACGATCTGATTTTACTAAATTGCCCTTAATAGTCTAACATTTTTTATTTACATCAACTGTACATAGGGGTAATATTGTTGGTAAGTATGCCTACTTTCGTCAATTAACGCTGGCGTTGACAGTTATACTAAAGATAATAGGTGTTATTTAGGGTTGTGTTTTTCCATTTCAATTTGGTATTTTGTTGTGATTTAGTTGTACAAAATATATTGATATGGATATTGTTTGTTAGATCGTAACTTTTCCTTTAATACAATAACTTACTTATAACATTGTAATACTATGATTTCTTTAAAATGACATTTTATAGTAATCAGGGGTTTTGCAATTTGTTGGCCACGCCAAAAAAAAAAAAAAAGAAAATCCGACTAGATGGTAGATTAATCAACATAAATATATATACTTTTAAAGTTGTTACTTAATGTTGCACAGTTAAAAGTAAAATAAGAGGTTTATAGAATTCATACATATATTCCTTTCGCTTCTCTTTCTGTATTAGCCGACTGCAGGTTTTTCCCGCTGTCGTCCGACCTGTGCAACACGCTTTACGGAAGCCTACATGTTTTAAAAGTAATTAGGGGTTGGGCAGCTTGAACGTTGTCCTTCTAACTATCCGACCCAACCCACCATTTCTCTTTCCATTTCCACGAAATGGACGGTTCTTCTCCGATCCGACCATTTTTTCTTATTCTCATCCCCTATAGGGTAATGTTTCGCCATCTCTGGTTTCTTCTCCACTGTTTTCAGTGTTATACAGAAAATATTTTCTTTAATCCTTTTTGTCTTTACCTGGTCTCTTTCAATCCGACCAAATCTATTGATGGTTATCTTCGGTTTTAAAAAAATAGCTAAATTTATATTATTTTGATTTGTAGATAATGTTTTAAAAATAATACAGAAAAAAGGTAATGAAAAGAAAGCTATAATTTCAAAACTCTTTGTGGGAATTTTTTTTTTACCACTTTAAGATTACGACAAAAATGGATCTTCTGAAACAGTCGATCGCCACGTTGGCCATATCCATTGTTCCTCCGTACACTGATACCCTTATTTTATTTTGGGCCTTAACAGTATGAATATATATATATGTATGTAATTCCTGACATATCCTGCTTTGCCTTTAATGCATTTACTTCCACTATTAGTAACCTTATTTTATTGAATTTCAACAAATCTTTACAACATTCACCTATGAAATCCATAATTACCTGTTACCTAACCGTAATTATAACAATCAAACCTTAAAATTCTCTATCGTTGTATTACTTTCTACAATTCCTAGCCCACCTAATCCTTATATTACCCATCTTCGCTGGAGTCAACTAACACGTTACTTATCATCTCAGTTTAAAAAAAAAAAAAAAAACAATCCAACGTACGAAGCCCTGTAAAAATTATTTAATATTTAATATGCCGTTTCTCCGTACAATTCATTCAAGTAAATACAATAATCGAATTTATAATAGAAAATGCATAATTATTTTACTAAATGATTTTATTTTATTTTTATTTTATTACCTCAACTATCTTTGCCCAAATATTTGTCTCCTTGTTGTTACAAGTAAGTAAATTAGATAGATTACAATGTGAAGTTACCCGGCAGGAAAGGTATAACCCTTATTCTTACAAGTAATTAAATTGGATGGATTACTGTGTACAGTTACCCGTCAGGAAAGGTACAACCTACTATAAACACGAATTATATGTTACGTCTTATTACTCATTAGTCATCAACTTGTATTCATGCATTCATCTGATTATGCTATTAAAGGGCATTGAAACATCTTTAATTCGACTCACATGCAAATAATATAACTACATACACAATATGAGAACATAACATAAATACTCACAACAAAGTAATCTGCACTCCATCGTTACAAAAGATTGCAATACATAAATCAGAGACATGCGTATGATTTATAAGCAGATAATAAACAGAATATAGATAACTGTAACTATTTTCCAGTTTACAAAAGCCAGCCTCCAGGAAAATACATCATAGGAGGCTGTGAAATTCTGGATATCAAATATGTAAGTCTAATACCCAACAGAAGTGTCGCAAAGGCGTCAGTAGCTGCATACTCAATTTGTTCGCTTGTCAAAATTTCCGAATCCTAGTTGCTTAGGGTTGCATGCAATGACTTTCGTAACTCTTTTCCCAAACCAACTAATACCATTGCCTTCAGTCCCCTATAAACATGTGCAATTAGATCAACATTTAAACAAGCTCTTTTGTGGAGCGTGTTAACATCTTCAAATTGGCGAACAAAAAGACCGTAATGCCTATGCAGCTTTGCAGTGTCTGCTTCTATACCAACACCACAAAACAGAAAACTAGAATCAGCCAGAAATTGTTGAAGTGAAACTGGAATATAATTGTCTTTAAAATTTGAAAAACAAGACAATACGAAGAAAGACAAAGTTGGATGGTAGCGACAGGATTGTCCTCCCCAGAGTGAACGTTAGGCCGCCATTCCATATCAAAACCGACAACAGTAGGACCATACGAAGAACGAAAACGACCAACAAAACCTACCCAGTGATCAACTTCGACTTCTTTCTTAGTGACTGTGACTGCAAAAACGCCATTGTAAAAACGAATGTTACGGAAAAAACCCGGCATATTCGCTAAGCTCATGCTGGCCATTAAACGATCGGTATTGCTTAAATAAAGTAACTTCAATATAGAAGACCTAGGAATTCTCTAAAGACAATTAATGGGCAAACTTTCACCTCTTTTAATCGATTAACAGAAAAACTCGGCCAGCCTTTTCACTACAATGACTCATTATATAGAGCGAACAAGTTGAATATTTTTGCAGAAAATATTTAATATAGTAAGTTGTTTACAAATATTAATGCCATGTAATATCTAATATGCAAACCCTGCAGATTTTTTCGGAAATAGTTCCAATCAAACCACTTGCTACTTTTAATACTCAACTATTTCTCTGTCTAGCAACTTGTAGTTAACCCTTCCGAGTAAAAATAAACAGAAGTCTAATCAACTCTTCCTCCATTTCTCACAGCAACAGTACTTAACTTCCTCTGCTCATACTGTAATCCAATTTTTCATCCAACATTATTATTTTCGTACCATTTCGAATAATATACGGTTTAAATAAACCCGAAAAAGTAAAATACATATAATTATTGTTAAAAACTAAGAGACTAAAATTTTTCATTGATTGGTTGCACAACAATAAATTCTTTGTAATATAATTCATTCAATTTCTACCACTGGGTTGTTCTATCCAGTTTTCGTCTTCTCACTAATGTATTTCTTTATGTCATAATAAAATTGGGTAAATGTCAAATCACTAAAGTAATTTCTATTTTTTGTCGTAATATTTAAAACAAAATTTGGTCAAATCACTTACTACGTTATTGGAATTATACACACACTTTGTACGATTTTCCACTTCACATTATATTATATATATACTAGAGGAAATTAACAGTAATTCTCATTAATGTAATTTTGATCCCCAGATAAGGCTTTTGCAAACGATTGCCTTCGCCAATTTACCATGCATACATTTGTTTGAAGGTATTAAAAAAATTTCCAACATACCTTTATTTATGGTAAAATTGCTTATAACTCCCCTGTGGTTTCGAAATTTA